CCTCACCTGCAGCAGACACTACCTTCTGATAAGTTCAGTGCTTACAGAATGACGAGTGACGTCCTGCCTTACTCATCATCACTCACTAAGTAAAACTATGATATGTAATCATAGTTTGAATGCAGTGTACTTTCTCTTTAGCGTGACTCTTTGGCTGCAGGCTGTACTCTCTGCTCAGATTCAGCCTGAGAAAACAATCAGAGTGCAAACAGGTAATGACCCGAGCAGAGCAGAGGTCCTCAGAGCTGAATCCTGAAAGACCCACAAACAGGCAACAAATGAAGACAGCTGCTGTAAAGGCCTGACAGAGGAAAAGAAGCATTTTGTGATGTTTGTGGTTTTGAAGGATTTTCATCCAACTGTTAAAATTGTGTGTGTGTGTGTGTGTGTGTGTGTGTGTGTGTGTGTTTAGCCTGTGGGAAGATTTTGTACCTGTAAAAACCCTGAATGACAAATAAAAGTCAGTCATTTCAAACACAACTTAATTGTTCGACTTAGAATCCACTATAACAGCGTGCAGAGCCAGTAATGTGTCACTGTCCCAAAGCTTAGGGACCTAAGTGTCATTTAAAAGTTCAGTTGCTGCTTCACCCGTTCTCCCTACAGGCTGATTTTCTGGCCAGTGCTCTGCCAGTCTGTGATATCATTCAGCTGCACCTCCTGTCGTTTTTTTTCTCCCACCATCGGGACTCCAGCTCTGCGATGTCACTGAGGACAAGATGTTTGACTTTTACTGGATCAGCTGTCTGTTTATTTCTGCGAGACAGAATCACTGAAAAGACTTTCAGGAACACCAGTGTGTGTTTACTCTCCTCACTTCTTTACATACCACATGCACAGAATCCAGATCTGCAGCTTGTTTTTGTCTCTGTCAGGCTTACAGTTCTTACACAGCCAAAACAATGTCATGAATCATGATTCACATGCTGGTCCAACATATATTCTTCTGCACATGCAGCTTTCTTTACATGTCTGAGGCCTTCCACAGCTATTTAGCATGTTTGAACTGGACAGGTGAGTACTTGGAGGTAAGTACTTGTCTACAAGTTTCCAGATTGTGAGGATAAAGCCAGATGTCTGTCTCTGTGTAACTCTTGGCTACGAGCAGAGAATAATAACAGGAATGTAATCAATGCAGAGGCTTCTTGTGTGAAGACCTTGAAAAAGCCAGCAGCTCTGACATGACGCCGTTGTTGCTCGGGCCAAATAACAGGCTTGTCAGTGAAGCTTCTCGATACTGTCGGTTTAGCGTTCTGGCAACCTCCAGTGCTGAAAAATGAAGCCAACACGGAGACCAAAAACTTCATGTCCTGGAGTTTTGGCTGGCTCCAAACGCGTTTCAATCTCCAAAAACATTTTACAGCATTAAAAAGTTTTTTTACAGCTCTGTACAAAGAGTGGTGTTGGCCTCTGTGGATGGTTTAGCCCCTTCATAACAGCTCTATGGTTTTCCTCCAGAGCGACAAAGGAGTGCTGATACAGAGAGCTGTAGCTGCCCCACAGGCCTCACCTCCACTCATTCAAGTTACTCAACTGGGCAGTTCACACACAATACAGGTGGTAGTTTAAGTTTAGC